CCGCCGCGGGCCGGGCGTGCGTGGTGCATGGGGGAGCTCGGGTTTCCTCCCGCAGTGTAGTGAGTTGTGGAAGGTGCGCTGCGGCCCCGCTGGGAGGTCGGGCTGAGACGAGGTCTGAGATGCTTCTCTCGTCGCCCCCATCGCTCGGTTCAGACCTTTACCCGCTAGCGGCCAAGGTTGGGGCCTTTCTGGCGTACAACGCGCCCACCTACACGCTTCTGGGTGCTTGGCAACGCGCGGCGGGGCGTGGCCTCACAGAGCAGGCAGCGCCAATGGCCTGGGTCGACTTTTGCCCTAGTTACTGGGCCCCGCAACTTTGGGAGAGGCCTGGGACGCGTCCTATAACATTGGGGGGGGGAGGTTATTATGCCTATTTCAGCCTCAAGAATTCCTTTTTTTTTTTTTTGAGACAAAGTCATGTAACTTGGACTAACTTGGAATTCTGTTACGTAGCTGCCACCTCTTCTAGTACGTGACTTAGAAGCCTGGGCCATCACAGGAAGAATTCTTTTCCCTCTTCCATGTGTTCATTTATTCATTCTGCAAATATTTGTACAGTGGTACTCTGCTCCAAGCGCTGTTTCCGGCACTGAACAGAACAAGGAACAAGCTTCCTTCCCTAGCCTCTTTAGCCTTTGACCAGTAGTGAAGATGGGGAAAACCCAGTCACAGAAATAAATTTTATTTACAAACTGATGAAAGCTGGGTATAGGGTGTGGGAATATAGCGCTCCTAAATTGGAGACCCTTAAGCACAGGCCCCATAAAATGAGAAATCAGCTCAGGCTATCGCATTTTGCAGAAGCACCAAAGGCCACTGGGGGCAGGACTCTGGGAAGGTAGGAGGCCAGGATCCAGAGCTGGGCAATGGCCCACCAACCATGCTAGAAATTGGGATTTGTTCTAAAAGCAGTGGGAGACGTTGGGCAATTTGGGACAAAACTGTCTTGGCCTGATCCCATTTCTACTTTGCAAGATTTCTTCTATTTTTGTTAGAGTGATATTTTTGACAGAGTTTCTCTGTGTAGCCTTGGCTGTTCTGGAATTCGCTCTATAGGCCAGGCTGATCTCAAACTCAATAGATTCTCCTGCCTCTGCTTCCCTCCCGAGGGCTGGGATTAAAGGTGTGCAGAAGCAGATCTCCGTGAGTTCAAGACCAGCCTGGTCTACAGTGTGAGTTCCAGGACAGTCAGAGCTACCCAGAGACCCTGTCTCAAAAAACAAAAGTGTGATCACCACTGCCCAGCTTTTTATTTATTCTTATGTGCACTGGTGTTTTACCTGCATGTATGTCTGTGTGATGTCAGATCCCCTGGAACTGGAGTTACTGACAGTTGTGTGTTGCCATGTGGGTGCTGGGAATTGAACCTGGGTCCTCTGGAGGAACAGCCCAGTGCTCTTATCTGACTCATCTCTCCAGCTGGGTGGATTAAGAGACAGGGAGGAACTTCTTACTAGACAGAGTTGGGGCTCCTCTGTGTACATCTCAGTGAGAGTAAGCAGGTGGGTGATGAGAGGGGCTCACAATTCCTCTAGGTCCCTAGTGGTAGGTACTCAACCCTTTACTACTGCTCTCATCTTCCATTGTCTCTGAAATAGCCTGTATGTAAGAACCAGTTGCTTAAGGAGATGTCAAGGTTTGGCCAAGGAAGGAGGTAGGTTTCATGGCCTAGTTACATGGGTCTCAACCTTAGCTGCTCAGGAGCCTGAGGCAGGAATATCCCAAGTTTAAAGCCAGCCTTTGCAAGTTAGCTAGCAAAACCCTGTCTCAACCCTCTGCCCCCCCCCCAAAAAAAAAAACCTAACTTAAAAGGACCCAGGTGTGAAATACTTGATTCAGATGATAGCAATGTATAGCCCCACAGGCAAATTCAAAAATCAAGCTGTTAGACACACCCTGGGAGTTACAGCAGGGTGGGGGAAGAGGCAGAGGGGGCAGGTGAGGTTGAGGCGGTACTTTAGGAGGAGCTGCCTACCTCCATTGTTCCCTTGGCTGAGGGAGAAAAGGAGCCCCAGGTGGCAGTTCCAGCCCCTTAGAGTTCTGTTTCAGTACAAAGGGCTTCATTTTTTCCTCCTACCTGCCCTGGCTTACCCCTCCCCCTAGCACAGTCCTGCTGTGATGAATTCTCTTAGATTTTGTGCTTGAAGAATAACCAGGAAACTGAAAGGTTTCCAGGTGTGTATGCTCTGCAGGGACAGTTTAGGGCAGTGTTGGGAAATTCCACTTCACTTTTTCCGGCTGCTCAGAGCCCCTACAAGCACCCTGCAGGAGGCCACAACCATGGCGGGTCCTAGACACCCAGTATCAGCGCATGCTGTAGCCCTGGTGCAGATGGAGCGACTTCAGGTAGGACCATACAGCCCCATCCTCCGCTACAAAGAGGCAGAAGGGTAGCTGACAAAATCTTAAGAGAGACGGAAACTCAATCTTCCCTCATAGACATTTGCCTTCTCTGTGCACTGGTCAGACAACAGTGACTCGTCTGTTCGCCGGAGCTGGGATGAGTTTAGGAAGCTCCAGGTAAATAACATGGGACTATTTCAACAGGGTGGCTCATCCTCCAATCCAGAGGCCAATAGCTACATGACCTCCCTTCCTGCCTGTAGCTCTCTCAGGGACTCTTTCCTCCCTTTGGGGGTTCTCTCCACTTTCAGGGACTGACACCCATTTCTTCCCCTCAGAAGATCCTTAAGAAAACCTTCCCAGTGGAGGCGGGCCTGCTCCGGAGATCTGAAAGAGTTCTTCCCAAGCTTCCTGGTCAGGCTTGCAGGGGTCACAGGGGTGGTCACAGGGGTAACAAGTGTGGGTGAGAAGTCCCAGTGTGTTCTTGTGACACCCGGGCAGATGTTCCACTGCTGACACGTCGGGGGCATACTGGCCGAGGTCTGGTACGTTTGCGACTGCTGGACACCTATGTACAGGCACTGCTGGCAACCTCAGAGCATGTATTGAGGAGCTCAGCACTCAATGACTTCTTTGCACCAAAACCTCTGGATCTGAAGCCCATGCTGCCTCCTGGCAGGTGACTAATGTACCCTACTCCCAGCCCATGTTCTTGTTGGAAGGGCAGATGAGAAGCTGGGCTGGCCTATGTATAGATGGGGAAGGGGAATTCCCATCCTTTCTGCTTGTTTCTCACGTGTGTTGGCTGCCCTGCCCAGCCTGGTGATCTTGCCCACACAAGAGGAGCCCTTATCCCAACCTGGAAGCAGCCTTGCCATTCATAACCTGGAGGCTCAGAGCATGCGCTGTCTACAGCCTTTCTACACCCATGACACAAGGGACAGGCCTTTCCACACACAGGCTCAAGAAATTCTGGACGTATTACTACGACATCCTTCAGGTAGAACCACACAGTATTAAGAACCTGGGGAAAACTGGGCAGTGGTGGCACATGCCTTTAATCCCAGCACTAGGGAGGCAGAGGCAGGAGGATCTCTGAGTTCCAGACCAGCCTGGTTTACAAAGCAAGTTCAAAATACAGAAGACTTGCTCTCTGATCAAGATGGGTGCAGGCCTTAGCATTTAAGCCCTTTCCTGGCCTCTTCAACAGGCTGGTGGCTGGTGGAGAACAAGGATCAGCAGACAGCCTGGTTTCCAGCTCCCTACCTGGAGGAAGTAGCCCAAGGCCAGGGCCAGGAGTCAGACCTGGCTTTGCAAGGCTGTGGTATGAGTTCACCCCTACCATAAGCTCACCACTAAAAATGGACCTTGTGGCAAGGCTGAGACCAAGCCCAGGAGGGAGGTGATAGTGGGGCACCAGGCATATGGGTGCTGCTTACAGTCAAGAGAAAGTTCAAGTGGGTTTCAGAGCAGTCCAGGGTATCTAGAGGGAAGATCAGGGAAAGGTCAGGACTCTGGCCTTGCAGTTCTTTAGTGATCTCCAAACACCTACCCTAGGGACGCAGTTCTGTGCTACCCAGGCCTATGAGGGCAGTCGCACTGATGAGCTATCAGTGCCTGCAGGGGCACGTGTGTATGTGCTGGAAACCTCAGACCGCGGCTGGTGGCTGTGCAGGTACATGTGTGTATGTGTGTGGTGGAGAAGTGGCGGGTGCTGCCTGGCAGGAGGGGCACATAACATCAGGTAAATCCTTAACCCAACCCTGCCTTTCTTATAGGTACAACGGACGGGTAGGCCTGTTTCCTGCAGTGCTGCTGCAACCTGAAGGGCTGGGCTCCCTCCTGGGCAGGCCAGGGCTCCCAGATAGTGGGAAGGAAGACAAGGTGACCAAGGACAGGATTGTTCCCCCTGTAGTACCAAGTCGCCCCTGTATGAGTGCCATCCAGAGCCGATGCTGCTCCATCACCTGCAGGGCACTGGGACAGGACCAAAGGACCCAGGGTCCCTTTTGAGGATTTGTGTAGCCCCGCAGAGAGGTTATACTGTCAACCCCAACCAGAGGCAAAGCAGGGATCCAGACCTGTCAATCAAACAGGATAGGGTGGGGCTCAATGGCTGGCAGGGCCAAAGAGCAACAACTTCCCTTTCCTCTAAATAAAACTGGAATGACTTCACCCGATGTCATTGTGCCCTGAGGGACTTCAGGCAGGGGCAGAAGTGGGCTTGAAATCTGTACAGTTGAAATCCCAGTGGGCCAAATGTGGCCAAGAATTGGGAGAGTTTAGTCAGATTCACATGAGAAGCCAAGGTAGAAAAGTGCAACTTTTATGTGTCTCACAGGGCTGGGGGAGCAGCAGGGAGTGGCGACAGCTTCATGTTGTGCCACAGGAAGTCCAAGAAGGTGGCTGCTTGTAGTGTCCGGCTAAGCCGCTGAAAGTGCCGCTCTGGAGGAAGATAGAGGAGGTTGGGGCTGTGGGGAGACAGACATGTCTGTGAACCCACCAGGGGCTTCCCTAGACCCAGGGCCATGTCGCATACCAGTATAGGGCAGCAGGGCCTCCAGTGTACCCCGCACACCCTCATAGGCCAGCAGTTCCTCAGGGGTCTCATGCCGCAGCAGCACACCGAGCACAGCCTGGGCTTCATGGCAATGTCTGGAGTTGGTATTCCATGTGACACAGAAGCGCAGCAGGGCCTCTGTAGGTATAGAGGTGGTCACCCTGTTTGCTGGGCCATTCCACCATATTCTGCCCACCAGGCCACCCCCCTCTCCAGACTGGTCCCAGCCTGGCCACAACCTTTCTGGTCTCGTCTCAGTCGGAGCACAGTATCTTCCAGCTTCTCACAGGCCTCAGGGTCCCTCCGGATGGCTGTGAGGGAAGTCAGCTTAAAGAAAGGGTTTCTTGGTCCCTGGAGCCTCCCCCAACCCCAGCCTGGTCCTGGGGCAAGTACTGACCCTGGATAACAGTCAGCACAGTGTGGGGACGATCCAGAGAGATGGCAAGTCCTACTGCCCGGAGATAGCGCTTCTCATGGAGCAGGTTGTCTAGTTCTTGCTGCCTGGTGGGACAGGGGAAAAGACATTGTCAATCAGAGACCCTGGCTGGGCCAAACACCCACAGGTGTGAGCCCTACCCCAGCCTGTTTCCTATGCCTCACAGCAGGGAACATACAGGGGCCTACTGCTGCTGAGGGGATTCAGGAGGTGCTAATGCTGGAGACCTGCAAGGGTGCTGTTGGGCACGCAGAGGTCTGCTGAGGATATGCAGCCAGTTCTACTGAGCCCAGACTTACTTGATCACCTGCTCTTCCCGTTTGGCCTGCTCTTCTGCCTGCTCGGCCTCTGTCACATCCTGGGATCAAATTAGGATCAGACAAGCCCGAGTGCTGACCTTTGCCCTGCCTCATCCCACCCCTTAGGGTTCACAACCTTCCAGAGAATGATTCGGGAGTCACTGCCACCGGTGATGGCATGGTCATCCAGTCGGCTACAGTGTAGCCCCCAGACCTTGTCCTCGTGAGCATCCAGGGTCCGCACACACTCATTGCTTTTAATGGTCCACAGCTTCAGGAGCCCATCAGAACCACTGAGGTTGACAATGGAAGGACTCAGTATAGGGGCATGAGCCCCACTACACACCCCAGCCCTCGCCTAGCCCATTCACCTAGACAGCAGCTGTGAGCCACGGCTCACAAAGGCCACCTTCAGCACAGAAGCATCATGTCCCTCAAACGTCTGCAGGGGAGAGATAGAGAAACCCAAGTCTTATGGGTATTTGTATGAAGTGTTACTGGCAGGGGTGGGGGTGGGGCTAGGGGAAATACTTACCTTGAGACAACTGAAGTCCTGCAGTGCCCAGAGCTTGATGGTGCCATCAGCAGAGGCTGTGGCCAGCACCTGGTCTGTGGGTGAGAACTGGACATTCCAGAGGCCACGTCGGTGGCCTGAAAAAACACCCAACAGTTGGCACTGAGGCAAGGCCCAAAGCTTAGCTGTGCGGTCCTGTGAGCCCGTGGCTAACAGCTTGTCATTGGGGGAGACAGCCAAACTGTTGATGTCCTGTGATGAGAGCAGGTGACAAAACTCAGATCCCATTACACGCTAGGGCTCAGCCACACCACATCCCAGAGGTCACGCATAGGTACTTTGTCATGGCAGCGCTGGGTAGTCTGGGCCTGGAGAAGCATGGGGCCACTGTCCACAGCTATGTTCTTGGACAGCAGGGCTTCAGGGAGGGGCCATAGCTTTACAGTGCAGTCCTGACTGCCTGTCACCAGGAAAGATTCTTTTAGCCTGTAGTCAAAAAGGAAGAGGGAGACTCTGCTCAGGCCCAAGGATACTGTTTGCAGAGTACCAAGCTCTGGCCTTATAAATCATGATCAGGACCAGAGGGAGCATCTCAGGATGTAGATTGGCCTACACTGCCCCCAAATGCCTCTGCCTGCACCATCTACCCTCAGAGCCACCATACCTAGCAACTGGTCCCAACCACAGGGTCAAGCTCTTAATGAAGGGTCACCTTCTCCAGCTGGACCTTGTTCAGTGAGTGATATTTTCTCTATCTTAAGTCCTTCCTATTTTGTCTACCTGCCATAGCACCCAAGTCTCCCTGGGCCTCTCCTCTGTTCCACATCCTAAAGTCTCACATGTGGCCAAACCAGCACACTCATTCTCCACTCTGTGCTAGAAACCAATGACTCCAGCCTCTACTTCTACTTAGATACCCCTGAGTCCAGTCCTGATCCACTACCTAGAACAGCAGATGGTGCCCACGCTGTGTGTGTGTCCGGAGCCCTGAGCTACACAGGTCACCTGGCCAGCCTTGTTCATCCTCCAGATGCGTATGCTCTGATCCTGCAGATAGTAGGGGTTCAAGATGGGTCAGGTTTTGTTGCCTTTGTTTTCACCTGGGAGGCCTGTGCCTTCATTTCTTGTATAGGGTCTCACCTTGGCACAGCTGACAAAGAGCCACCCCTTCCGGAACACATCCAGGGCCAGGACAATGTCTGGGAGGGAAGGGAAGCATGGTTAGAGATCAAGTATACAAAAGAGGCAGGGAAGGGAAGCTGTCAAACCAGGCTAAGTACCAGGGATGTCAGAGGGCTTGACCTGCCTGTGTGACCGTGGAGGATTTGACAGGCCAAAGTCTGCAGCTCAAACACTTTCAGGCAAGGGCTGTTAGAAGCCACAACAATGTGGGAGTCATTGGGCCCAAGGAACCGAACATCCAACACCTCCTCGCTATAGCCAGCAAACTGTGGGAGGCAGGAAGGTCACAAGTGAGGGACTGTATGAAAGGAAGCCTAATGCCCAAGCCCTGCACTGGGCAGAACAAATGCTTACCTGTTTCTGCAGCTGTAAGGAATGTGCCTCATAGAGTAGCAGGTTGTGATCAGTGGTGACAGTGAGAAGCAGGCCAGCAGTGCGGGCCAGGGTACAGTGGGTCAGTTCCTGCCCTAGGCCTGGCATTTGTGGCTGGGTGTATACACACTGCCCGGAAGCTGCCTCCCACACACGGAGGATCCCTGTGTGAAGACAAAGGTTGTTGGAGGATGAGGTCCACAGGCTTCACCCAGAGTCGTCCCCCCCCCCCCAGTCTAGATGTGGCAAGCCTCCCCACACCTTGGTCACCAGCTGTTAAGAAGTGTAGGCCCGAGTTCTTGACACCCAGTGCAGGTGCTGGCTCCTCAGGCAATAGCACAGCAGCTTCTATGCTCTGTGGATGAGAAGGGTCAGAGCCTATGCAGCCATGCCTCCCATCCCTGCCCCTGGCCTACAGGGCCATACCTCAAACACTGGCACTGTCCTTGTGGCCTGGTAACTCTGAAGGTCCCAGACTATGCAGATCTTATCACGGCCAGAACTGAGGAGAAACAGATCCTTCGGTTCTAGTTTCAGCCTTGGCCTCCCCTTCTACCCAAGCCCTATGTGGCCAACCACTGACCTGAGCATGGTATGGCCATCCTCACTAAAGGACAGAGAAGTGACAGCACTGTAGTGTGCAGTCAGTACAGCCACACATGAGCGGTCCTGCAGTGACCACATGCGGATAGAGGTGTCCACGGCTGAGGAGAAGAGCAGCAGACGAGTGGGGTCTGGATGGAAGGCCACCAAGCTGAAGAAAGGTAGAGACAAATTAGCTGTACTTCCAAGGGTGGTACCTCTACCCACCCTTCTTCCATCACCCACTCACTGAACGACGCCGGGTGAGCCTCGAAGGTGGTGTGTCCCATAATGTTGCACAATGTCCCAGACACGTATAGCCCCATCACAGCCACCTGTGGGAATGTGTTTGAGGTGAGGGTGTACCTTGTGCTTTGTGCCCTCCAGCGTATCTACCTAGCTGCCATCGTACCTGTAGCTAACAGTGTAGAGGTGGCATCAAAAGCCATGGAAGCCACAGGGGCTGTGTGTATCGCCTTCCACAGGCGAGTGACAGTGCCTTCTCGCCAGGCCCATTGAGCCAGCAGCAGTGCTCGGCTGGCTGTTACCAGTACCTGGGGGAAGGAGTAGGGTAGTATAGTGTAAGACATGTTTGCCAGATCAGTGTGGAAGGGAGGTACCAGTGCTAACCACCACCCCTACCCATCATACTTCATTATCAGGACTGAGGTCAAAGGCAGTAATGTCCTCTTGATCCTCCTAAGGGGAGAGTGGCAATACAGAGCACTATAAGAATATGATACCCTCCCCTCAAGACCCTCACATCTGCCCAGCCTGTCCTCACCTGCTCCAGGCTCCGAAGCAAAGCCCCTGAGGCCACATCTAGGATGTTGACTTTGGTACCACAGACACAAAAGAGGTGGTGGCCAGTCCGGTCCAGCTAGGGAGAAAGGGGGTCTCAAGCAAGAACCACTCAGTACTCCCTACCCTTTTACCCCCTAATTGCTTCTGGAGATAGTTACCTGTGCTTTCCCACCCTTGTAGAAAGGTTCAATCTTTCGCTCAATAGCATAGCTGGAAAGAGAATTGGATACTGAATGATCACCTAACTCCCTTGTCCCATTGCCCAGCCCTGCTCTGGATGCTCTCCCAGAGATTAGCCAAATCCTTGACCTTGCAGAGTGTCTAGGCAGCAGCAAGAACCCAGGGATAAGCTAACAGCTCAATGGGTGGATGCTACTATCTTCACATTACAGAAAGGTTGAGAACCAGAGTTCTGTGGGGCTCATGCAGTTGTCATACAGCTCGAAGAGGTGGGTCTGAATAAGGTGAAGGCAGTCCAAGCTTCAGAAGAGAGGTTTTGGGGGGGCTCCCTGCTAACTGGGGGAGGCCAGGAAAAGGTAATATACTCTCAAGGTCTTCACCAGTGAGGCCCAGCATGCCACTACACTACCAAGTCTCCCTCCTCCAGCCTCAGCCTCATTTGGTTTCTCCCCAGCTAGCTGTCATTTCTGGGATCTGACTACTGCTGTCCCCTTTCCCACTTTCTCTACTGCTTTGGTCCGAGCCATGCTGAGTGGCCATTCCAGCCTCCTCACTGGGTGGGTGCCTTGCCTATTCTCTAAAGGTGGGTGCCCTTGAGAACAACTGATGGGTGTCACTGTGGTGCTCACAGCTTCCCTTCTTCTCACATGCTTCTTCTGTGACCTTGCCCAGAAGGACTTCCACCTGTTTTTTTGTTTGTTTTGTTTTTTTGAGACAGGGTTTCCTGGCTGTCCTGGAACTTGCTCTGTAGACGAGGCTAGCCTGCCTCTGCCTACAGAGATCCACTGCCCTCTGCCTCCCAGGTGCTTGGGATTAAAGGTGTGCATCACTACCACCTGGATGACTTCCTTCCTTCCTCTTTCTTTTTTCTTTTTTTTTTTTTTTTTGGCTTTTGAGACAGGGTTTCTCTGTGTAGCTTTGGAGCCTTTTCTGGAACTAGCTCTTGAAGATCAGACTGGCCTCAAACTCACAGAGATCCACCTGCCTCTGCTTCCCGAGTGCTGGGACAAAAGGCATGCACCATCACCACCACCCAGCCTATCTTTCTTAATGGTCAACACTGCGGCACCATTGTTTCTGGCCCAGGCCCTGTGACAGGTCTTCTGCCTCTATCCTGTATGTGGGCTGGTCTGATTTTTCCAAATCCAATGACCCTACCCTCACCCCCTAAGTCCACTCCTTGGAAATCTGCCCACCAGAATGAAACCAGTCTCCCATACTCTGCAACCAGTTAACCATCAACAGAGATGCTGTCAGCACTGAGGCTTCTCTTTGCTAACGCTTGATAATCCAATCCACTGAAAGTCGATGAAAACTGTACCTGGAAACTATACACTACTGATAAAGGCAGTGTCTATCCCTATCCTAGCACTAACAGAGCTGCACACAGCCTGGGGAACTGACTGAGAGGACTCAGAGTCCCTTGTATCAGTGTGAACGCCCCTCCTAAATTCCTGGCTCTCTTTTCCCGGTTCCTCGAGCAGTGAACCCATCTCCCTTCGTCGTCAGCGCCTCCGCTCAGGACTTACTTGGCTTTGAAGCGACTCACTCCGGCCGCAGTCTCGGCCATGCCTGAGAACAGCAGATTCCTCCAAGCTCAGCAGCCTTTCGCCGCGTGAAAACAGGCAACGCGCTACTCTGTATTTCAGGGCACGTCGTGATGACATCACGAGCTACAACTACTTGACGCCATCATCATGCGCCCTGGGAAACATCTTTACTGTGGGTACCGGCTACTGCGACCAGAAAGGGAAACTGAAGGTGTTTCCAGCATGAAGGCTGGCAGTGGCTACCGTGCTGAACGTCTTGAATTTTATTTTTATTATTTATTTACTATTTTTTAGTTTAGTTGTTTTTTGTTTTTTTGGTTTTTCGAGACAGGGTTTCTCTGTAACTTTGGAGCCTGTCCTGGAAATCACTCTGTAGACCAGGCTGGTCTCGAGCTCACAGAGATCCATCTGCCTTTGCCTCCCAAGCGCTGGGATTAAAGGCGTGCGCCAAAAAAAAAGCAATGAGACAGCCTGGCGTTGGTGGCGCACGCCTTTAATCCCAGCGCTCGGGAGGCAAAGGCAGATGGATCTCTATGAGCTCGAGGCCAGTCTGGTCTACAAAGTGAGTTCCAGGATGACCAGAGTTACACACAAAAAAACCCTGCCTCAAAAAAAATAAATGAATAAATAGATAAAATTTAATTTAAACTGGGCAATGGTGGTGCACGCCTTTAATCCCAGCACTCTGGAGGCAGAGGCAGGTGGATCTATCCATGTGAGTTCAAGGCCAGTCTGGTCTAGAGAGCGAATGCCAGGACAGGCTCCAAAGCTACACAGAGAAACCCTGTCTTAAAAAACCAAGAAAAAAAAAAAACTTATTAAGGAAGATTCTGGTTATGTATTCAGTTAGCTTTAGGCTGGTCTGAAACTGGTAGTCAAGGTTGACTTCAGGCTTAAGATGTTTCAGTCTCTTGAATACCCTCAATTATGTATATTATGTATATGCCACATGACTACCTACCTGCTATAACATGTGTGGAGACAGAGGACATGGAAGTAGCTTTTTTTCTTCTACTGTGAAGGTCCCAGGGATGAAACTCAGGTTACTCTCAGTGAGCCATCTTTCTGGCCCAGGCCTTTTATTTTATTTTCAAGACAGGGTTTCTCTGTGTAGCTCTGGTTGTCCTGGAACTCCCTCAGGCTGGTCTTGAACTCACAGAGATCTGCCTGCCTCACAGAGACGTGCCTCTGGAGTGCTGTGATTAAAGGTATGTACCACCACTGCCCATTTCAGGGATTTTATCTTAATGTGAGTTTTAAAATTGCTTTTGGCCTTGGCATGTTTGCACAGGCCTTTAATCCCTACACTGAAGAGGCTGAAGTAAGAGCTCTGTGAATTCTACCCCCCACCCCCACTCTACAGAGGGAGTACCAGGAGCAGCCAGAGTTGTTACACAGAGAAACCTTGTCTCAAAAAAACAAAACAAAATCCACAAAGCTTTTGTTTTAAACTGTCAGGGATTTATCTTAGGTCTGGAGGTCAAGGAGGAAGCCAGTCATGTTGAAAGTTCACTATCCTTGTGATGGCTATTCTTAGTTCCCAATTTGACTATATTTGAGTTAACCAAAACCCACGGCTAGGTATACCTGTGAGGGACTTTCCTTCCTTCCTTCCTTCCTTCCTTCCCCTCTTCTTCTTATCTTTTTTCTTTTTGGGGTTTTTGAGATAGGGTTTCTCTGTGGCTTTGGAGGCTGTCCTCAAACTAGCTCTTGTAGACCAGGCCAGCCTCGAACTCACAAAGATTATCCTTTCCTGCTTCTGCTTCCCTAGTGCTGGGCTTAAAGGGGTGTGCCACCACTGCCTGGCCACACTTAAAAGAATAAGGCTCTCTGGAACTAGAGTTACAGATGTTATTAGCAGCCATATGGGTGCTGGGAATCAAACCTGGGACTAAAATCCAGGGTGTATTTCTTTCACTGGCTCTGATTCTAGGAACAAAGTGTTTCTTTGGCACTGGTTTCAGGGTCAGGGTGTGTTTCTTTGATTCTGGTTGCAGGGCCAAGTGTGTTTCTTTGGCTCTGCTCAGGGTGTGTTTCTTTGTGGCCCTTTTCCCCTACAAAGAGTCTGGGAAAACAGACCAGGGGGGAGAAAGGCCAGTGTCTGATGTGGAAGGTCCGGAGGGTGACAAAGACAGCAGAGCACACAGCATGCACAGGACATGAGGTGGGTCAGGCCTGGGCTCAGCGTTTATTTAACTCCTTTATAAGACACCTTGGCCCTGCCCACCCCAAGTCTCAGCCTCCGGGGCAACCTCACTCTCCTGTGCCCTGTTACTCAGAATCAGGGCGTCATCTTCCAGGAAGTTGCCCAACTGTGCCAGCTGCCGGCGGATGAAGTTGGTGGTGCGATGCACTCGGTGTACACGCCGCAACAGGCTCAGCAGCAGGTGCTGGTTGCGCTGGTTGCGCTGGATCCAAGCATCACGAAGCTCACGGTAGCAGTTGTGTTGCTCACCCTCCGAGTCAGCCAGAGAAGCTCCACAGCCTAAGGGGCAGCGCTGCTGGCCCCCCTGCCGGCAATGCTGGCGGTGCTCATCTAGGACCCCTCGCAGAACCTGCGCAGTGCAGCCCTCATTGGGGCAGGCCATCAGCTCGAAGGGGCATGAGTTTTGGTGTCCCTTGCGATGAGCCAGAGGGCATGTCACCAAGCAGCCAGCTGCAGCGTTCTTGCACTAGGGAGTATGAGAAAACTCAGTGTGAATTAAACTAGGTTAGGCATTGCCACCTGGGGCTTCCATATAATCTCTACTCTATGATATCCCCTAACTATGAAACAAACAAACTCTGGAGCCTCCTAAGCTTTTTATTGGCTTTTTGAGAGTGTTTCTCTTTGTCACAGCCTGGCTGTTCTGGAACTTGTTCTGTAGACCAGGCTGGCCTCCTCAAACTCAGATCAGCCTGCTTCTGCCTTTCCAGTACTGGGATTAAAGGCATGCACTACCACACCTTGCTGCCTGCTAAACTTTTGTGATTCCAAGTTTTTCCATTTTGTAAAGTTAGAGGGCTGGAGAGTAATGGCTAGTGCACCAGGCACTTCATCCCTGAAATTGATTATAATCCCCATATTACACCTGAAGTTCCAAGGGACCCAGAAAGGATAAGCAGCTCGCTCCATCACACAGCAAATGGGAGATCCGTGATTCATACTCTTTAACCATGTCTATGGCCTTTGGCCTCTACTTGGTTCTGACAAAGTGCTTCTTCTTGTCACCTCTTCTAACTCTTCCCCAACCCCCCACCAGGAGGACTGGAGTGGATGCTCTGAGCTACCTTGACTTGTAGGCGTCCAATGGTTTTCCGGAGTTTATTCACTTGGACCATCTTTCTCCTTTTCACCTCTTTTCTACAGCATGGACAGGTGTTTTGTCTAGAAAGAGGTATCAGTGCAATGTTGGAAGTGGAAGCTGGAAGGTGGAAGTCATATGCCTGACAGAGCAAGCCTTCATGGAATAACCCAGCTAGTTCCTCCTTTCTGGCTAGAGGAGGCATGAAGTGGGCCCTACACTGAGGATTTGGCTCCCAAACTGAAGCTAGGGACTTCAGACACCAGAGTCAGGCACATACTTTCTTAGTGTCCCAGATTTTGCATCTGAGTCTTACAGCCATTGAAACCCAGTTTTTAGTAAACCTTCCCATTCTTGGCCACAGGAGTTGCCCCCCAGCCTCACTCCCACCCTCCTGGATTCCCAGTGCACCTGGCTAGCCATTGGAGGATGCACTTTTTGCAGAAGATGTGACTGCATGGCAGCCTCATTGGCCTCTTGAGAACCCCATGGCAGACGGAACACAGGAAGTTGCAGTCAGGAGGGCTGGCAAAGAGGTTGAGATCGTACCCACCACTCTGCAAAGGCCAAGTTAGTGTTAAAGTCTGTCCCAAAGCACACATACCATCAAGATAACTCCATAATCATTCTGTAGGGAGGCAGGCTACATAAAGAAACTCAAGGGCAAACCTGTGGGGGTTGAGTCCCCCAAGATTTGCCAATATTTGACTGAAGAAGCTGGAATACCACCTAGAGCCTTCTGAAATGTTTTCTTGCCCCATAAAGGAACTATCATTCATTCGCAGAGTGAGACAGGATCGATTCCTAGACAGCTGGGCAGCTGTCTGGAATTGAGTACATATCTCAGAGCTGGTGGAAAGAAGCCAGGGCCTCACCATGATCTGTGTCTGGACGGCAGCTCCACTGAGGCCAAGGGCTTAGGAGCCTCCATTTCACAGTACATGTGGACCGACATCACAGTGGCATTGTCTAGCTTGAGCCAATCACAGCTCTGGTCCAGAGCCAATTGGGACCTTGTGGCTACCTTACCCTTTGCCTTGCCCTCTGAAGGTGAGTGGTAGGGTGGCCTCAACTCAGGAGTAGTCTATGGATTCTCTTGCTTGCCTTGGTTGTGGCTGACAGCTGAGCCCAAGCTTCTAGGGACTGGTTCCCAAGGCCAGTAGGATCCCAGGGATTGTAGCCTCCTCCATTGACTGGGTGGTCAGTTTAGATGTTGGTCCTGCTCCACAAACATCCCTTCACCAAGAATTAAGCCCAATAGCAAGAGCCACATTCTTTGAAAGAGACCAGAGGCTTTTCAGTTTAACTTAAAGGCCTTTGGGGACTGGGCAGTGGTAGTGCAAGCAAAGCCTTTAATCCTAGCACAAACGAGACAGAGGTAGTTGTATCTGTGATTTTGAGGCCAGCCTGATCTACAGAGTGAGTTCTAGGACAGCTAGAGCTGTTTCACAGAGAAACCCTGTCTGGAAGAAATAAAACAAAAGGCCTTGGAGAGATAAGCTTTAGAATACATGCTTTAGTGTAGTTCTTTTTGTGTATAACATGGTTTCCATATTGGCATAGAGATCACACTGGGCAGATAACCATATTAACTGAGCAGAAAGAATATAAAGTAGGCCTAAGGGAACATTAGTGGAGCTACTGACAATCCTCTCCTTCAGCTGCAATCTATTTTGGGAGATGCCTGAGTATACACAAAGTAAAAGGGCCACTCCATGATTAAGTGTCCAGGTCATAATCCTCGATTGGGTAGGACTGTTTGCTGTTTCAGGGCCACACACGCTCAATAACGCTTCATGAAGTTGAACTTGAGTGGAATCATACTTTGGCCATCACTAGTGCACTATTTGGGGTGAACAGATGTCTTCCCTAGAAGGGGAAATGCCAACACACTACTTCTAGGTGGTCATGTAAAAATTTTTGAAATAGACCGGGCATTGGTGGCACACACCTTTATTCCTACCACTCAGGAGGCAGAGGCAGGTGGATCTCTGTGAATTTGCAATCAGCCTGGTCTACAAGCCCTAGTTGCACCTAAATATGCCCTGAGGATAGAGCCCAGTTAGATTCTCATATTAATCACTTGATTAACCTGGCTGGAGAGATGGCTCAGAAGTTAAGAGCACTGACTGCCCTTCCGGAGGTCCTGAGTTCAATTCCAGGCAACCTTATGGTGGCTCAAAACCATCTGTAATGAGATTTGGCGCCCTCTTCTGGCATGCAACATACATGTTGGTAGCACACTGTATATATAATAAATAAATCTTGTCTCTGACTCTCAGTGCAAGCAACCACACCCAAGCTCCAGTCATTTAAAGAAGCCAAACACTGAAACCAATGGGAGCTCCTGTAGCATCCTTGTTCTGCTGCTTGATGATCACTCTGGATGAGGAATACCTGTGTGGTGCACAGTACATCTGGAGCATGAGTACAAGACAAGGCCTAACCCAGATGAAACTTGTCACATACACATTTCTACCTGTGTAGTGACATTTGGAAGGCCGAAGCAGGATTGTTAAATTCCATGTCCTCACTGAATACACAGCAGGACCCACTCTCAAAACAAAACAAAACTTAGGGTTCAACTATACGAAACTCCAGTTCCAGGGGCTCAGATATCTTTTTACGGCCACAGGCATCAGACAACGTGGTGCATATACATTCATGCAGGCAAAATAAAAGCGCACTTAAAGAAAAGCTGGAATCTAGCAGGGTGGAATCTAACTTACAGGGGTCTGGCTGCGTCGGCCATCCAGATGCTACCTGTTGGGACCACCCCCCCCGCCACGAATACGTTTTTCACCTAGATTGACAGAAACCCTCCAAGAAAACCAGAAGAAAAACACAAACAAAACACCACCACCACCACATACACGGTAGGTTATGTTAAACCACTTTATTTGAGAAGAGGACATCGGAACCCTGCCATTTTCGTGGGCGAAGCTGCAGCCGCCTCCAGATCCAGTGGAACCTGTGGATAAAGGACATGGTTAGGATCGATGCCACACACAAGCCAGGCCGCGGGAGCCGCGAGGCGGTCGGGAATGTAGGGGCCTGGGTTTCACCCTCCCACACTGGGGCAGCGGGCGGTGAGCTGAGGCCCCTGTGGCTCTGGGCGCCGAATCTCACCTCCGGCCACAGCCAAGGCCGAAAATGATTTTCAACGAACGCCCATTTACCGAGCCCACGGCGAACGCGAGGCTGACGAGGTACAACCTACCTGAGGCAGAGAGAAAGAGCAGGAAGTGACGAGCACTAGGAGGCCTGAGAGGCGCCACCCGGACTTTTATACACCCTCACAGTCGGGCGGGGGCGGGGAGGGGGGTGGGCGGGGGCGGGGTGGGGGGGGGGGGGGGGGGGGGGGGGAGGTGACAACACGCAGCCAATTACAGCCTGCGTGTGAGCTGAGCAGGCCTGGAGATATCGCGGCGCTAGGGGCACTATAAAGTCTGCCTTCCCCACAGCCGCGCTCTTCTTCTACTTCGGGAAAACACGTGAGTCGTTGTTCCTCAGTCCCGGTGTCGGGGCCTGGGCAGTGGGAATCCGTGGACATCCGGACGGAGACGCCCTTGGGCGGGAGGTCCCCTATCGGAATCCCAAGCGACCGCAAAGCCAATTGTCGTTCTGAGTTGCTTTTTTGCTTCTCTAGCAAATGGCGGATGACGCCGGTGCAGCTGGAGGGCCCGGAGGACCCGGGGGCCCAGGATTAGGAGGTCGCGGAGGCTTCCGCGGAGGCTTTGGCAGCGGTCTCAGGGGCCGCGGTCGTGGTCGTGGTCGAGGACGTGGCCGCGGCCGCGGGGCTCGTGGAGGTAAAGCCGAAGACAAGGAGGTAGGTCTGGGCCGAGAGCGGGGCGGGCCGCGCGCGCTCCGCATGTGGCAGCCTTCTGACTGGTGTCTTCCTTCAGTGGATCCCCGTCACCAAGCTGGGCCGTCTGGTTAAGGACATGAAGATCAAGTCCCTGGAGGAGATCTACCTGTTCTCCCTGCCCATTAAGGTACAAAGACATCCAGTTTGGGCGGGAAGGTTACTATCTAGACGGTTTGCATAGCCTCTTCTGTCTAGTGACCTGAAACATCTTTCCCACTAATTTCCTGTTTCAGGAATCCGAGATTATTGATTTCTTCCTGGGCGCATCCCTAAAGGATGAGGTTCTAAAGATCATGCCAGTGCAGAAGCAGACTCGGGCTGGCCAGCGGACCAGGTTCAAGGTATTAATTTTGTTCTTTGGCAAGGTGGAGGTGTTTAAACTCTCTCACTCTGCATAGTTACACTAGGTTTCACCCGTGTGACTTTCGTACCGGGAGAGAGAGAAATGAGTTCCTCAGTACCTTTGATTGGCCTCACAGTGGCCTCTCTTTCCTAGAGGAGCACCACAGTTCCTAGTTTGGATATGCTGGTTCTATGAAGTATCACCAGCCATTTCACCAAAGTCTTTTCACAGGCTTTTGTCGCTATTGGGGACTACAACGGTCATGTTGGTCTTGGTGTTAAGTGCTCCAAGGAGGTAGCCACTGCCATCCGAGGGGCCATCATCCTGGCCAAGCTTTCCATTGTCCCTGTGCGAAGAGGCTACTGGGGGAACAAGATTGGCAAGCCCCACACTGTTCCATGTAAAGTGACAGGCCGCTGTGGCTCTGTGTTGGTGCGTCTCATCCCTGCCCCCAGAGGCACTGGCATCGTCTCTGCTCCTGTGCCTAAGAAGCTACTGATGATGGCTGGTATTGATGACTGCTACACGTCAGCCAGGGGCTGCACTGCCACCCTGGGCAACTTTGGTAGGTAGCTCACACAATTGCTGTGGCATCTCTCAGCTCCGCTGGATCACACTGGCCCAGTGTGTGCTTGGCGTGTTTTTAAGGGAGAGAGAGGATAGCGCTCCTAATGCACGGCAGACCAGCCCCAAAGTGGCTTCTCTGCTCCCTGGGGTGCAACAGCTTCTTAGTGGGAGGGGGACTTTTTGTCTTAGTTTTAATCCTCTGACCCTTTTTACTATTTTCCAGCCAAGGCCACCTTTGATGCCATCTCCAAGACCTACAGCTACCTAACCCCCGACCTCTGGAAAGAGACTGTGTTCACCAAGTCTCCTTATCAGGTATACTGAATCAGTCGGTGTTTGCTGCTTTGGCTTTGGGCGGGCGGTGGTGGCACACACCTTTAATCCTAGCAGAGGCAGGCAGATCACTGATTTCCAGACCAGCCTGGTCACCAAGAGCTAGTTCCGGGACAGCCTCCAAAGCCATAGAGAAACTCTGCCTCAATCCCCACCCAAGAAAAAAGGGTAGGCGATGTGTTGTATTAATGTTCCACTTCTCTTTTAGGAATTCACTGACCATCTTGTGAAAGCCCACACCAGAGTCTCTGTTCAGAGGACCCAGGCTGCAGCTGTGGCCACCACATAAGGGTTTTTATATAAGGGAAATAAAGTGAATTAAGTCTGTTAATGTTTGTCTATTTTCTTTTTTTTTTAATATATCCTCCCCATGCTTGGTGAAAGTCTTCAGCTTTTTAGCTATGCATTACAACAGGCAAGGTTATACCCAGTCACTTTATTTCAGAAATGCAACAAGAGTCTTAGACAGCAGCTGCTTGCTTGGCAGCCCTTCTCTCTTCCAGCATCCTTTGCTTCTGCTTTGCCAGGCACTTTCTGGCAGAATAATAGGCTCCCAAGTCATAATCTGTAAAAGATGGGGTGTAGATAGCTTGTTACATATGTGGGAATTTGGACAAGGTTGAAAGCATGGTAATAGTTGAACCAGAAGCAAGGGTTGGAATCAGGTGTCACTTACAGCGGTCATGGTAGGCTTTAGCCACCTGGGTGAACTGCTCCATTTCCTTGGCACAATTCTGCTTTGCGTTCTCTCCTTCTCTCTGCTGACAGGCTTTAAGCCTCTCCTGGATGATGTTGACAATTTCTTGGTCAACTTTGCTGCAAGAATAAGGGATAGCAATGCCTATCTCAAATTTGATAGCATAAAGGCCTGCCTTAGCCCAGGTCCTTTCCAGCAAGGGTGGGTTTTACAATGGACAGAGCCACCCCACCAACTGTTCCCTGCTATGTACTTACTAGTCCCTTCTCCATTGCATCTCAGCTTCAAAGATACACAGGATATCATCCTCTTTGCATTCTGTGATGTCTGGCACACGTCGGTACTGCCGGTGATAGTAATAAGTTCGGTTCTTGGCATGCTGTTGCTCAATAAACTCTGCAAAGAGAACACCTCTAACTCAAGGCTTGTCTGCCTAGACTTTAGCGAGGGGGTCTAAACTTCCAAGCCTTTACAGAAACAGGCAGTCCTGTGAAGGAACTGGCTAAATGGTTAACAACTACCACCTTCAGTGAGCAGGTCCTTCTATAGATAGAAGAGATAAACTCAATTGAGGATTGAGAGAACACAGTGGGGCCTACCTGCCCCAGGGTGCAGAAAAGCTTTGAGTAGTCAAGGAAGCTCCATGAAGAATTCAGCAGTAGACCCAATGTTTTTCAACTGGTAAGTTAAGCAGCACAGAGTTCAGACATTCAGATACTACCAAAAAAATGGAGCTGACCAAAAAAAAAAAAAAAAAAAAAAAAAAAGAGCTGACCTTGAAACTGGTTTGTAAATTTCCACCTTCCTAACCCAAAGACCACCTATAAACCAGGGACAGTGACTTGTCTGTAATCCAAGCTACTGTCAGTATACCTGACAAGGAGACTTGGTGAACACAGTCTTTTCCAGAGGTCCCAGACAAACCCTGACCATGCTGATGGATAGCAAATTATCCATTTCAACAAGAGCTTACTGACTGGCTACTTGAGCACACCTAGCAAAACTCCCTGGTGGCAGGCTAAATTCCCAACCACTATCATTTTGTCTTTTCTTTTTTTGGGCGGGAAGGTTTCGAGGCGAGTTTCTGTGGCTTCGGAAACTGTCCTGGATCTAGCTTTTGTAGACCAGGCTGGTCTTGAACTCACAGAGATCTGCCTGCCTCTGCCTCCCACCGCCTGGCTTTTTTTTTTAAAGACAGGGTTTTTCTGTGTAACCTTGTCTGTCCTGGAACTCGCTCTGCAGACCAGGCTGGTTTCTAACTCAGTCACCTGCCTCTGCCTCCCCTTGCTGTGATTAAATGCAAGTGCCACCACTGCCCAACTTCCAGCTACTACCATTTAAAAGAGCGACCGGGCCGGCTTTGGTGGCGCAAGCCTTTAATCTCAGCACTTGGGAGGCAGAGGCAGGAGGATCTCTGTGAGTAGGAGACCAGCCTGGTCTACAAGAGCCAGTTCCAGGGCAGGCTTCAAAGTCACAGAGAAACCCTGTCTCGAAAAACCAAAGAAAACAAAAACAAAAAAACAACCCCAAAATACAAGAGCGACCTGGGTCTAAGGTAGTCAGGGTTCTGCTGAAGGCAGAAAGAATTATGGGGGAGGGTGTAGTGCCGGGAAGAAGTGGACTATTCCTCGGGGGCGATGGGAGGTCCTGGGAAGTGGTCTGGGGTGCAGCAGGGAAACAAAACGTTCCGGCAGCGAGTGTTCTAGGTGCACTGGGAGAGGTTCAGAGACGATTTGGAAAAGAAATAAATAAAACTAAAAATAACAACAAAAAAAATCGATTTGGACTCTGGGGCTCTGGATGTGGGAAAGCAACGTGCAGCGGGTGGTGGCTGAACCCTGGGGACGGGTATTGACGTGGGATCCGTGGGGTACCAGGATCTACACTGGGCGGGCGGGTGGAATCCTAGACCCTGTACCTCTCACGAGGGTCACGGGCCGGTCCACGACGAGATCGAAGGCCTTCATAAAGTAGGTGATGGGGTTGGGGAGCGAGGTTTGTGGCGAGGGAGCCGGCGTGCGGCGCGGGGGCTCAGGGTACACATCCTTGTCCCAAGAGTCCGGCATGGCTGTAGCAATCGCTCCCTGCCGACCTCCAATTCGCTCGCGTCCGGACCAGCTCGGCCTGCTGAGGACAAGGAGACCTTACGCCTACGAGGAGAGGCGGCACTGCGCCTGCGCAGTGGGTAGCCGCGGAGCACCACGGGATCATGGCTTGCCCCTCGGGCACCCTCTTGTGGTTTCCAGCGCTATTGCACAGTGACAATCCTGGTTTAGCTGGACAGAGTTCACTAGGAAATAAATGCTTTGAGTAGACCTACCTGCTAAGTTAGCAGGGAGCATGGTGAACACGGCTTGGGAAAGAGAACACACACAAATCAACGAATAATAGAAACACCAAACGCCCTCACTACTCCAGGGAGCCATTCTGGACTGCTCAGCCCTCTTAGTCTGTTGAGGGCTCTGCTGGTGGGTGCCAGTGAACCTGGGTGCTCCTCTGAAAAGGCAGGGCTTGTCTGGTTGTAGTCCGTGGGAGAAAAGAGCAGGCACAGAGTGCTTTACCCTGCTTCTAGGGGGAGAGGGGTTTCTTCTCTAGTTCTGAGTGGTGGGTATCAAAGTTGTTGGTGGTGCCCCAAGTTGTTCACTGTCCAGGACTGCACTGTCCAGACTCTGAGTTTATGTGTTTAGAACTGGTTTTGCAGCCTGGGCAGTGGAAATCCTCACCCATATGTCATCTTGGTGCTGGTCACCTCCAGCCAGTGTTGGGGACTAAGAACATAAAGCTATCAACTGCAGTGACTTACCAAATCTAGTAGTATTACACAAAAATCAGTTTATGGTACCCACAAATCTTAACATTTTGGTAGCATAGAATCTTAGTATCTAAACCCTGCGTACGCCTTTAATCCCAGCATTCGGGAGGCAGAGGCAGGTGGATCTCTGTGAGTTCGAGGATAAGCCAGGATAAGCTCCAAAGCTACACAGAGAAACCCTGTCTAGAAAATCAAACAAAAACAAAACAATAACAACAAAAAGAAACTTAGTATCTAATGTAAAACCACTATCCCAGAAGGATGTCTTAAGCCTAGTGGACTCAGTGATTACACAACTATAGAACCTTGATTCTGTAACAATACACTTTTGGGATTGAAAAATAACTTGGGACAGTGGTGGCGCACATCTTTAATCCCAGCACCCTGGCCGGGCGTTGGTGGCGCATGCCTTTAATCCCAGCACTCGGGAGGCAGAGGCAGGTGGATCTCTGTGAGTTCGAGGCCAGCCTGGTCTCCAGAGCGAATGCCAGGATAGGCTCCAAAGCTACACAGAGAAACCCTGTCTTGAAACACCAAAAAAAAAAAAAAAAAAAACCCTGTTTAAAAAAAAAAAAAAAAAAAAAAAAAAAAAAAAAAAAAAAAAATCACAGCGCCCTGGAGGCACTCAGATCTCAGAGTTCCAAGCCAGTTTCAGGCCAGTCTGGTCTACAGAGTTACAAGACAGCCAGGACTACACCGAGAAACACTGTCTCAAACAGAATAAAATAAAAACTAAAGAAAAAGAAGATAGATGGGCACAGAGACACAAACTTATAGTAGGAGCTACACAAGGGGCTGAGCTGGGATCATCATTTGAGTCGAGGAGTTGAAGACCAGTTTGGGGAGCCAGATATGTAGGTTTATGTCTATAAACCTGACTGCCATTTTGGTGGCTGAGGTAGAAGGATTGCCAAGAGGTCAAGGCCAGATGGGCTATAATGTGAGACATTTCTCAAAAGAAAAAGAAGCAGCTGGAGAGATGGCTTAGCAGTTAAGAGGTTTTCCAGAAAACCTGGGTTTGATACCCACCACTCAGTTTATAACTAGCTGTAACTCCAGTTCCAGAGGACCTGATGCCCTCTTCTGGCCTTCAAGGACACCAGGCAAACAAATAGTGCACAGTATACCTACAAGCAAAGCACCCATATATATGAAATAAAATAAAATTTAATTTAAAAGAGGTAGTGGCGGCACAGGCCTTTACTCCCAGCACTCGGGAGGCAGAGGCAGGTGGATCTCTGTGAGTTGAGCAGGCCTGGTATACAGAGCTAGTTCCAGGACAGCTAAGGCTACACAAAGAAACCCTGTCTCAGAAAACCAAAATAAGAAAAAGAAAAAAGCCAGGAGGGGAGTGGTATAAACCTTTAATTTCAGCACTCAGAAGGTAGAAGCAGGCAGATTTCTGAGTTTGAGGCCAGTCTGGTCTATAGAGCTAATTCCAGGACAGTCAAGCATATACAGAAAAGCTCTGTCTTCAAAAACCAAAAAAGGAAGAAAAAATAGCAGAGCTAGGAGTGTAGCTCAGTTAATAGAGTGCCTGCCTAACATGCACAAAGCCTTAAATTTAATCTCCAATACCCCATAAACCAGGGATGGAATACACAATGATAATCCCAACACTTGCCCTTGGGGTGTGGAGGCTGGAGGATCAGAAATTCAAAGCCATCTTCAGCTATATACTAAGTTCCAGGCCAGCCTGTGATCCATAAACCCCTGTCCCAAACAAAGTAGTAAAGAAACATAAAAACAAATTCATTCAAGTACTTGTTCTGGTTAGTTTTGTTGTCAACTTGACATAAGCCAGGGTCATCTGGGAAGAAGG